TATCTGTTATATTAGGAATTTTTTAAAATATGTTAGAGTGAACATACAAAAACACAACTTACTCTCAACGTAGTTGCGGGCGAAGAACTTCAGGACCTCATCAATTAAGATGACAGGGAAGGAAAGCTTCAGGACCATAAGCCATTGCTCAACATTCAGATGGGTCAACTTGAAGATCATCTAGGGGACAGAAGAGTGCGAGTTAGGATGAGGACAAAATAAATCCATAAAACTGTGAGACTTACACTCACAGCCACAAAGTCAAAGTGCAGAGCGCATGGATGTCTGACTTACGGGCAGAGGGTCAACATAGATGATCATGAAGTGCAGGGACATGGAGAGGGTCATGGCGGAAAGCAGCCAGAAGTTGCTCCATGGGGGCATGCGGATCAGAGACTGATTCTCAGACAAGCTGGACAAAGAAAAGAAATGAGAATAAATATCTGTGACATGTGAAGAAACCACAGGAGTCGTGATCAAAAGCAGAGCAGGAAGCCTGGGGTATCGTCATTTCAATATTCCAAACACATCTGAGGTCATCACCTGTTGAGGGCGTTGCACATCTCAATGGTGACCAGCACGGACAGGGCCATGGTCATGGGAGGAGCGGCCTCAAAGATCTCGCACTCAAGGCCAGCGAAGTCCTCGTTCTCATCGTGGCACTGCATGAAGTGGGACTGAAAAGAGCAGGAAGTGAGGTGAGGTTATGGACCATCTGCGTGTGAGTGTTTGTGAAAGACAACACAGAAAAATCCCAGTTACTCACCAGCTGGTAGTAGGAGACCTGGGGACCAGTGACATCATAGATGAACCACCAGGCAGCACCACCAACGGTGGCGGCACCGACGTATCCTGACAAGGGAAAGGTAACGGCATCAGTGTAGGTAAACATTCTTCCTGCATTTGACATGAAATGCAAACACAGCGTGATGCTTACCACCGATAGCCATGTATCTGAAGAACAGCCAGCCAGAGATCAGGGGCTCCTTGGGGGAACGTGGGGGCTTGCCCATGATGTCCAGATCAGGGGGGTTGAAGCCCAGAGCGGTGGCGGGCAGACCGTCAGTCACCAGGTTGACCCACAGCAGCTGGACGGGGATCAGAGCCTCGGGAAGACCCAGGGCGGCAGTCAGGAAGATACTGAGAGAGTGAAGAAGAAAATATTAGAACAAGTTTAGACTGAGGTAGAGAGAAAGTTGGTGTTCAGGTGTGGATCAGAGCGTGTGTTCCACAGGCCACTCACCAGACGACCTCACCAACGTTGGAGGAGATAAGGTAGCGGATGAACTGCTTCATGTTGTTGTAGATGGCTCTGCCCTCCTCAACAGCAGACACAATGGAAGAGAAGTTGTCGTCAGCCAGGACCATCTCAGAGGCAGACTTGGCAACAGCAGTGCCAGAGCCCATGGCGATGCCGATCTCGGCCTTCTTCAGGGCAGGGGCATCGTTCACACCATCACCAGTCTGGGGACGGAGGGATTAATGTGATCACTACAACAGGCTGAAAAAACCAGTAACTGAAAAACACTGCGATTCAGTGAAGTTAAGTTTGTCTCATGTGCTGCTGAACTCTCACCATAGCTGTGATGTCATCATAACCCTGCAGGAACTCCACGATCTTGGACTTGTGGGCTGGCTCCACACGGGCAAAGCAGCAAGCCCTGCGCACGGCCTCTCCCTGTTCATGGCTGGGCAGATCGTCAAACTCACGTCCGGTGTAGGCCTTGTTGGAAACATCCTCATCCTCGGTGAAGATGCCAATACGGCGGCAGATAGCGATGGCGGTTCCCTTGTTATCACCTGAAATGCGGAGAGGGAGAAGTTCGGTAGAGGAAAAGTGGATTCAAACCTTTTAAACACTACAGTTAATGTGATGTTTTTGTAAACCCATATGATAATATTCTTTACAATCAATAATACTGACCAGTGATCATAATGACACGGATTCCAGCCTCTCTGCACAGCACAATGGAGCCCATGACCTCCTTACGAGGGGGATCCAGCATACCCACGCAGCCAACAAAGGTCAGATCAGTCTGAGGAGAGAAATGTCAACATGTAGTCACAGTTGTATCCACACGCTCTCAACATCCAGTCCAATCGATATGTTGTGTTCTCACCTCATAGTCGGCAAACTTGGTAGAGTCCTCAAGGACCATCTCCTCTGGCTTCAGTGGGGAGTCACGTGTGGCCAGGGCCAGGCAACGCAGGGTGTCACGGCCGGTACCCCAGTCCCTGATGACAGCCATGATCTTCTCCTTGATGGCGTTGGTCAGGGGCACGCGGGTGGTGCCAACACGCACATATGAGCACCTCTCAATCACACCCTCGGGGGCACCCTGTGGAGGTGACAGACTATTACTTCATTGTTACGTAAAACGCAGCACAGTCAGAGCGCAGATGTCTGACCAAAGGCTGTGAGAGGAAGGAGAGCCTGAACTGACCTTCACGAACATCTTGGCGCCACCATCACCCTTACTGGGGGTGCAGTACACGGACATGGACTTCCTGTCACGGGAGAACTCCAGGGTGAACTTCTTCTTCATGAGCTGCTTGATCACCTGATGGAGGAATCCAAGAAAAAAAGCATTTGTTAGATTCGCAATAATTCTTTGATGGAAAAAAGACTTTCAGTGGATCACAATGAACTGGATTAAAAAGGAGTAGCATACTGGTCATTCAAGAAAAAAGAAGGAGGAAACGTACGGAGCAGCAGGCGTTGGCTCTCTCAATCTTGGACAGGTTCTTCACGTTGCTGTTGAACACGTTCATCTTCTCTACCAGGCAGCACAGGGCGGTCTCAGTAGCCTCACCAACCTTCTCAAAGATTTTCTTGGACTGGAGAAAAGGAGCGCGATGGAGAGAATGTGTTAATGTGAGGTCACGAGATTTCAGGACAGCGACAGTCTGCAAGTCTTTATGACTGTACCTCGTTGTAGTCCAGAGAGGAGTCGTTGCACAGGGCACAGATGGTAGACAGCTCAACAAGACCATCGTAAGAGCTGCAGTTGGTCTTGGCACCTCCCTGGGAACTGATGGACAAAAAAAAGAAGAAAATTAGAAATAAACAAAGACATGACTGTAGATGTACATTTCAGTGGTTGGCTGCAATATGTGATGATAAATGGCACTGAAAACAAACTTACACCTCGCCCTCGGGGGTGTACTTAGAGCCAGAGATATCGAAGGCATCAAGGTCAACATGTTCGCCATCAACAGTCTTGACAATGAACATCTGTGAAGGAGGAAACAAAGAGGTTTTTTTGTGCCTAAAGGGTTGTAGGCAAATTGTCTGTGGAGCGATTTCTTTTTGATTTAATCACCCACCTTGGTCACACACATCTGGTTGGTGGTGAGTGTGCCGGTTTTGTCGGAGCAGATGACGGAGGTGCAGCCCAGGGTCTCCACAGAGGGCAGGCTTCTGACAATGGCGTTCTTCTTAGCCATACGGCGGGTACCGAGGGCCAGGCAGGTGGTGATGACAGCGGGCAGACCTGGGAGACATTGGTCAAAACTGTGAGTGTGATAAAAAAAAGTGATGGAGAAACACATGACGTTCAGTAAACGTCTTTGCTTTCCTCACCCTCAGGGATGGCAGCCACGGCCAGAGCGACAGCGATCTTGAAGTAGTAGACGGCGCCACGGATCCATGAGCCTCCGTGGACGGGGTCGTTGAAGTGGCCAATGTTGATGGCCCAGACAGCAACGCAGATCAGGGAGATAACCTTGGACAGCTGCTCGCCGAACTCGTCCAGCTTGGCCTGCAGAGGAGTCTTCTCCTGCTCTGTGGCGGCCATCTGGTCACGGATCTTGCCAATCTCAGTGGAGACTCCGGTGGAAACAGCCACACCGATGGCCTTACCAGCGGCGATGTTGGTGCCCTGTGACGAGGAGAAGATGAGGAAGGTAAGAAAAAGAAAAATGGTGGAGGTAACAGGTAACAAATCATACTTGCTGGTGATGGGACACCTACAGAGAAAAGCATGTTCTTCTTGTCCTGGTTGACAGCTCTGGGGTCTGGGACGGCATCAGTGTGCTTGATCACACTGACGGACTCACCTGAGAGAGGAAACAGAAAATTAAATGAAAACCGCAGATGAAGACATGTCAGAACAAAACAGGTAGAGGTGGATTGTTTCTGCAAAGCTTACCAGTAAGGATGGACTGGTCAACACGCAGGGTGGTGGATTTGATGGAAACAATCCTGATGTCAGCGGGAACTTTGTCACCAACTGTGGGAAACACAGAGAAGAGAGCACTGAAATGAATGTCTGTAAATATAATTTTATTATT